GGCTGTGTTGTTGCATCTTCTAGGTCGGGAGTGAACTTTGCTATAAAGTCTGCCAAAGCTTGAGCTTTTATCACCGTGTGGGGTCTGTGAACCAAGTCGTATTGGCCAAGTTCCAATGTTTACTTCATCACTTTTTGAGAAGCATCTGGACTATGTAGGATAGATCGTGAGGGATACTGAGTCAAAACGATGACCGTATGTGCTGGAAAGTATGGTCTGATCTTCTAAGCTGTAATGATTAACGCCAAAATTAGCTTTTCAATCCTCGGGTATCTTGTTTCCACATCGAGGAGAGCTTTAGAATTGTGGTGAATTCTTAGTTGGGCCTTGAGTTCTTCTCGTATGAGGGCAGAGCTTACTGCTATGTCTGAGATTGCCAAGTAGATTTATAATTCCTCGGCTGTTTCCTGCTTGGATAGCAGCGGAGGGGAAGTTAGATATTTCTTCAAGTCTTGAAATGCTTTCTTGCACTCGTCGTCCTACTTGTCTATTTGCGCATTCTTGATGGTGTTGAAAAATGGCTTGTATCGATTGGTTGAGCGCGAGAGGAAACAGTTGAGTGAGATTAGGCTCAATCGTGAGTTGATTCTAGCTATTTTCTTCGGCAACTTAGGATTAAAATTGATGTATTCAGCGTCATCATCTGGCTTCCATCGTTTTTTTTTCTGTTAGCATGTCCTTTTGCATGTCATCATCTTGATCCACTTGCTATGGTTGTTATTTGATAGCAGACTTATCCTTCTGAACCTTAGCTTCTACGGGGGTAAAAGACTTATTCTTTGACTGCTTCAACATTTGCACCATGCATTGTCGGGATGCGACATGGTCAGATTTGATCTCTCCGACTTCTCTTCCTAGGATGCAGAATCAAATTTTTTGGCACTCGACAAAGGTTACGGCACCCAGTTCCATCAGCCAGGGCCTTCCTAGAATCTCGTTATAGGGAGACGGGTCCCTGATTATAATGAATGTTTTCTTTTAGACTACTAGTGGTGTTCTCACATCGAGTGTGCTGCTGCCAATAATAGTTGAGGTGTATCCATTAAATCCGGTGAGTACCTCTGCTTGGCATATTATCGTGCTTTCCAGACCCATCTTTTGAATGACAGATAACTCAAGTAAATTTACTGAACCACCATTGTCCACCATCACTTTGTCCACTATAGTGTGTGCTAGTTAAACGGGCACTACCAGAGCATCGTCGTGTGAGAAGTCAACTCCCTTAGCATCTTGTTTGGTGAAACCAAAGATAGGCCCAGGTTTGGTGTCAGCTGCCTAAACTTGGAAGATTGATATAGCCTGCTGGATCTTCTTCTTCTTGAAGTTGTTTATGGCCCTTAAGTACTCGGACTTGGTGAAGATGTCGTTGATTTTGATGGTCTTGGCAGACGATTCCTCGTCTGCATCTACGTACCTCCTAGGTTGCGCAGCTGGCTTGTCCCAGTATTTATCGCATTTACCTTCCTTCACCAGCATCTCTAGGTAATCCCTCCAGGTATAACAGTTGATGGTCGTGTGACCAAGACCTCTGTGGAACGCGCAATACTTGTGTGATCCAGCTTGGAGGTGTCTCTTTTGGATTATCTTGGCAGCTTGAACCAACTAAGGCTCACTATTGAGATTGTGGAAGATCTGGTTGATTGAGGTCGAGAACTTGGTATAGTTCTTGGTAGCCTGACCTTTTTTTATCGGGGACCAATCTTTGCGCTTGGCCCCCCGCCTGCTTCGGTCGTTAGACTGCTTCTTGCCCACCTTATTCTGAGTTGTCTTAGACTTATTCTAAGGCTGCTCAGGTGCTTTGTTTACTCATCGAGCCTCATCCCAAAGCACATGCTTCTCTTCTATAGCGAATGAGTCTACCAAAGTCAGGTTTTCTTTCATGATCAATTCTCCGAATAAGGGATGATATGATGGGAGTCCCTTTTGGAAGGCTACACTAGCGATCGAGTCGTTACAGCCGACTATCTTCACCTTCTCTGCCTTGAACCACTTCATATAGTCGCGAAGCAACTCCTTCGGATTCTTTTTTATTTTGAAAAGATAATTGTACTTTTTCTTAATCGAGTAGTAGGATGCATACTCCTTAGTGAAAACTACAGAAAGCTTGTCAAAACTTCAAATGGACTGTGGAAGCATGGTATGGAACGAATCCTACTCTTCACCCTGCAAAGTAATGGCGAATTTCTTGCACATTAAAGCGTCATTAGCTATGTATAGGATCATCACGCTGTGGTAGTGCTTCAAGTGCCTTTTCGGGTCTCCATTTCCTTTAAATAAAGTGAAATATAGCGTATTGAACTTACGCTGGGTCTCCGTCTGCTCGATCTCGTCCGTGAATGGTGATCTACCCATGTGTGCCACATTCTTACGAAGGGCCTTGTCTGTGGTCTCAATGCGCTGGAATTTGCGCAATCGCTCAGTCAGAAGCCTTTATACTTTTTCTTCAATTTGCCTTTGTCGGGGCAGTGGGGCTTCTGGCTGCCCCCGGTTATGACCTGCTGGTCTCGACTGCTATTTTCTATGCTTGACTCGTCTATGTTGCAGTTGCAGTGCATGTGGTACGTTCCTGACAGGTAAGCAGATTACTCATAGGCTTCCAATTGAACTTAAGCCAGATTGAGTGGCTGCTTTTCTCCATTTGTCGTGATGCCTACTTCAATGTGAGGTGGAAGATGCTCTTTGCGAGCCTAACCGCAAATGAACGCTTCGCCTGGAAGTTTGTCCATGTTAATTATAGGAGTATGGCCCCAACCGTGAATGTATGCTCGTCCGGATACCTAATCAAGAATGCATGCTCTTCCACGCGCTAAGATGAATGTATACGTTATCTCGGGAGCCAAATTGGGAGTGTACACTGCCATAATGCTTAGTTCGTGACTGGTCGAGGGTTTACTTACCTGGACGCTACTGGAGAGAAACGCCATCACTTGCATTTGTCCTATTTTGGGACACCTCGTTTAGGGCACACTACAGGAGCTGATTCACCAGGGTAGTTTGTTGCGCGAGAATGCTTGCCAGTTTGACGACCTGTCGGGATAAGTGTTATTCGCCATTTGGAGTGGCATAGCTTGAATAGTAGACATCTGCTTGAGTAATGGAAATGTAATGGACTCCGGGTGTAAAGCTTGAGCCATGATTGGTCAAATCGGCAGTAAGGTGAAGTGAAAAATACCCTTAGTTTAACTGTTGGCCTCGAAATCTAGATCTGGGCTGGTTAAACTGGTATAAGACCGTGTTGGATCGTTTGGAGGGCCGCAGGAGCAAGTCCGGCGTATGGGCGCTGGGCCACCTCAGTTTGTCCTGCTTAGCCTTAAGTTGGAGGCATGTTAGGTTCACTCCGGGCTACAACTTGCGTCATGGTTAGTGCGGCTTGGACTGCCTCAGTTTGTGCAGCTCGCATCCAAGTGAAGGTAGTAGGCTAAGGGTTGTTGGTGAGGGCAAACAGCTACCTGAGCCTATGTCTGCTGGCTGCTTGCACCATGGGCTTCATGCCCTAGGGTTTCTTCGCATTGAGTGGAGGCTGCCCCGTGGGCCACTATAACAGCGGCTACCTTTACTAGCATGGCCACGATAGCTCTTAGAGGAGGCAAATGAGTGGTCACTGTCATGGTAAGCCTTGAAGAGCGACGGCATGGAGCCACATCGCAATCTCCGTCAGTTAGTCCAAGTCCTTCAACATAAAGGGTCCCATTGGTTGTCATTTCTGAATTTCCTGCCATCGTAGTTGTGGATCTACGAACGAAGGAAGTTGAAAGTAAGAGTCTTCTTCGAGTCTTCGAACCAGAGCCCTAAATGAAAGCACTAATTTGTGGATACAAATTTTCGCCTTCCTTTGATTGAAAAATCTGTACCTGCAAGATTAAGGCCAAAAGCCTCACGTGCCTACAATGAATTATGGGGGAGGTGCTTTGGCCGAAGAATCTTGGATGCCAAAGTTAGAATTTTGAGAAGAATGTGTTTGAGTATTTATGGGTAGCAAAAAGCCTATTTAAGGGTGCTAAAACTTACTAAATTTTGGAGATAAAGTGTGTATTTATAGGAAAAAAAGGAGGAGATGGGCCAGCCCTCTAGGGTTTAAGGGTGGTCGGCCCTATGTGATATTTTTGGGTGAGAAAATTACAAGATATTTGTGTAAATAAATATCTTGGAGTAATTAGGTAAATATCCTAAATAAATGGAATGAATTACTTACTTGAAAGAGGTTTTCTCTTATTAGGAATGTATTTATGATAAGAATATGGGACCATTCTATCATAAATACCTTTGACTTTTTCCACGAGCAGGGATGCCTTGAGCAGTTGTTGATCTCTACTTGCTCTACCTCAGCTGCTATCTGCTTATTTAATAGGGGCAATCTTGTCTTTCTTGAGAAATAATCCACGTGTCAGCTCTATGATTTTTGAGATTATTTTTTACTCTACATTGACGTCTATCTCAAAAGCGTTTATGATATGAGTAAAAGTGTTTTCTAAATAAGGATTTCCAAACCATCCCGTAATATTGAGTTTTGTATGGAAGCACTAGAAACTCTTTGGGCCAAGATACCCTCAACAAGATCTTCCAGGTTGCTAGAGGTTTGTAAACAAAAGTTTGAACCGAAGCCCCAAAGGAAGCAAATCCCTAGCCCATCCAGAGGTGTAAAACAGTAAATAACCAAGGGAGAGACCAATCATTCCAAAGTCACGCACCAATGATTCCCTATCCGTACGTCACTTGTTTCCCATTCCTTTATAAAATGAGTGCATTTTTGCTCACTATTGTTTTATGTAGTATATGTTCATCATTTTATTCCCTATCCATACGTCACTTGTTTCTCATTCCTTTATAAAATGAGTGCATTTTTGCTCGTTATTGTTTTATGTAGTATATGTTCATCATTTTATTTATCATTATTAGATGAGTTTGAATTTTGAGATTTATGCTTATCCACTAGACGAATCTTAAAATTCAAACTCAATTAACGGTAATAAATAGATTGATAAACATAAATCATACTAAATAGTGATGAGCAAAAATATTTCCTTATAAAATACCCTGCTCTGGTCTGGTACTGATACATGAGAGCTTTGCTTGACAAACAGTGGATACCAGAAAAACAAAAGAATGGCAAGTCCTCGCCCAGCCACTGGATCATTTTATGACTTTACTGTCAAGGTAAATCATTTCTATCCTCAATTAATTTATGATTAATTTTCTTAATTTGTAGCAGATCGGTAAGTTTTCTCGTAATATAGGCGATATTACTACTCTAAACTATATTAAGCGGAAGGAGAGGAGGGGCGGAAGGGAGGAAGGGAGGAGGGGATGGTTTGAATTCCGGGACGCAGTTGGTTAAGGATGAATGTCCTAACCACCAGGTGGATTTTCAATCCACCACTTGCAGAAGATGAGTAGTTTCTTGAGTACCGTGATTTTGTTGAATGTGTTCAAAATTAAAATAACGAGCATATGGGAATTTTGGGTGTTCATTTTTGGCATGTTTTGAGAATTTTCCTTGTCCTGTTTGGATGCCAAGAAAAAAAGTATATCTGAAAGGTTAAAAGTTTAGACAAATATTGGGAACAGAAGATATGTTAATTTCTGTTGAACCCATGTTGGAGATTCAGCTGAGAAATATGATTCGTGTGTGTTGGTCTTGTACTTCTTGTGATGGGGTTTTAAATTTTTTAAGTGCAGGATGTTAAGGGAAATGATGTCGATCTTAGCATTTACAAGGGAAAAGTTCTGCTGGTCATCAATGTTGCTTCCAAATGGTAATATACATTATACACCCTCTTTTTTGTCCCTATCGTTTTATGCTTTCATTCATTGCTTTTTTTACTGATTTTCCTGGCAGCGGACTGACCAACTCAAATTACGATGAGCTGAATGAACTGTATCGAAAGTATAAAGATCAAGGTTTGCATATAGAACTTGTATTGTATTCTTACATGTTCTTGAGCTGACATCTATCAATTTAGTTACTTCTCTTACAAGTTGAGTTCTGGTACATGCTAATCTGCTGCTTTCAAATTAATATACTGTCTTGCATATGCAATGATCTAATGTGTATTAGAAAAACATGAATTCCCTCAAAAGTTTTGCAGAAATCCTACCTTTTCTATTATTTTCCCCTTTGTATGATATATTGGGAGGTTGATGCAGGCTTTGAAATTCTGGCATTTCCGTGCAACCAGTTTGGTAGTCAGGAACCAGGAAGTAACAAGGAGATTGAAGATTTTGTCTGCACTCGTTTCAAATCGGAGTTTCCCATTTTTGACAAGGTAGATCCCGAAACAATAGATTATGTTTGATTGTATCTATTTTCCAGCAGCTCATTTTTGTAATAAGTTATGAGCAGGTGGTTGAAGATCTCTGTGTTTACAAATTTGAGTTCCAACTTTCAAGGCTTTCAAATTTGATACATTTAGGCTACTGAAACTTTAATAGTTGAAGTGAAAAAAAAAAACTATCTAATGAGTAATGAGTGCTTATTTTAATTCTATTTGAACTCCTGCAAATTAGAACTTTCACATGCGTTATTCCACACAGATATTTCAACTGCATCTAAGAGCTAGGACGGTTTTGCAGTAATGTTAGATCTTTCTTTCTAAATCCGCCCTTGTTGTTGTGTTAGATTGAAGTAAACGGAGATAATACTGCTCCAGTATACAAGTTCTTGAAGGAAGGCAAGTGGGGATTCTTTGGAGACGATATTCAGTGGAACTTTACCAAGTTTCTAGTTGACAAAGAAGGCAAAGCGTCTCACCGCTATTACCCAACCACTCCCCCCCTTAGCATCGAGGTCTGTTTCTCGAATGTAATCATGTTATGCTGCCTCTGTTGTTTACTGTGATTAATCATCTTGCTCTGTAGATTTGTCAATTTTTCTGGCCTTCTGACATTATACATTTTCCGCAGCATGACATCAAGACGCTGTTGGGAGTCGCATAAGTTGCTGAGATGTGAAGATTTCAACATATGCTTGTCTTTTGTGTATCAAACTGGAATAAAAAGTTCAAGCTTGCTTTTGTGTATGTTTATCATAACAGTGTGATTTCAAGACTTGTTAAGGATGGAGGCATGGTGTTAATTAAGAAAACATTAAGCAGTTGCAGTCCCTGTTTGTTTTTTAAACTTGATTAAACCATTTATGTTCCTTGTGGGATGATGAAAATTAACCAGGATTCAAAGATCTTTCCTAATCTGGATGTTGGTTATTTTGATCACAGATTGCATTCTCTGAGCATGTATGAAAGGCTTAGCTGTCTATTTCTCCGGAGATATATCCCTGTGTTCTATAACACTCATCAGGTGACTTCCTATCAAGATGAGTGCTATAAAAACATAGGGATATATATGAAAGATAATCTAATATGTTTATAGAACTCAACTCAATTAATGAGTGAGCCGATTGCATTGATATTTATATGAGTAGAATTGATATGCGTGTAGAATTAGGTTACAAATAAATAGCAGCATGTGATCTAAATATAAAACAGAATAAAGATTGAACTTGATCTGCAGCAGCCGCATGGTCTGAGGAATCCGTATTGGGACAGGACTGTAGTTGTGCAGGTGGTATTACAGTCGGTTTATCACTCCCCCGCCAACTGAGCGGTCAACAACAAACGGGAAGTTTGGACAGCAGGAAGGCAAAACGAACAGCAGAGAGGCCCTTGGTAAGCAGATCAGCCAACTGATCTGTGGAAGAGACATAGCCAACCAAAATTTCTTTACGAGTGAGCTTATCACGAATGTAGTGATAGTCAATTTCAACATGATGCATATGTTATTGATAAACTGGGTTGGAGGCAACTGAGATGGCACTGATATTATCACACCATAACCGCAAAGGATCAAGAGGAAGATGAAGCTCGCGGAATAAAGTATGATACCAAGAAAGGCAGCGGCAGTGTAAGCAAGTTGACGATATTCATCTTGTATACTCGAACAAGAAACACCTCGCTGTTTCTTGGAGCTCCAAGAAATTAGGTTGTCACCAAGAAAAATACAATAACCACAAGTAGAGTGGTGATCATCAGGATCGCCAGCATAGTACGCATCAGCATAAGCAATTAGTGTGAGTGAATTGGGACAATAAACAACGCCATGACTGGGAGTCGCCTTGAGATAATGCAAAATACACTCAACAGCAACCCAATGTGCCGTTGTTGGTTTATGCATAAACTGACAAACTTGGTTGACGGCAAACGCAATATCAGAACGAGTAAAGAGGAGATACTGCAAGGCACCTATGACACTACGAAACTCAGTGATATAAAACAATGGTTCGCCATTATGCAGACTTAGGCGAAGACCACTTATTGCAGGAGTAGAGATCAGATTGCAGTCTAGCATCTAAGTCCGTTTGAGAAGATCAGTGATATACTTCGTTTGAGTGAGATGAAGACTAGTTGTAGTACGATGAACTTCCATGCCCAAAAAATAATGAAGAGGCCTAAAGAGGCCTAAGATCCTTCATTGAAAACAATGTGCCTAACTGTTTTATCATGCGAGTAATATGCGACATACTATTGCCGATGATCAGAATATCATCCACATAAATCAACAAGTAGATAACCACAGAGCCATCAAAGAAGGTGAACAATGATGAATCAGCATGAGATGAGATGAAACCCAAATTTTGAATATGTTGAGAAAAACACTGAAATCAAGCACGAGGAGCTTGTTTGAGACTATATAGAGACCAATGCAATTGGTAGACATGGAAGGGGCATCGAGGATCAATAAATCCTTGTGGTTGTCGCATACATACTTCTTTAGTCAAAGAATCATGAAGGAACACATTTTGTACATCAAGTTGCCGAAGAGGCCAATTGAAGTGAATGGCAATGGAAAGAATTAACCTAATAATGGCATAATTAATGACGGGACTAAACGTCTTGCCGTAGTCCAATCTTTCTTGTTGATGGAACCCATTAGCCACTAAAGGTGCCTTGTAGCACTCAATTGATCCATCGGAACGCCGCTTGATCTTGTAAACCCATTTATTTGGAAGAACATTCATATTGGGGCAAAAAGGAACCAAAGTTCAAGTGCCATTCCATTGCAAGGCATTGAACTACTCAGCAATAGCAATGCGCCATTCTGAAACTTTATTAGCCTGACTAAAACATGTAGGCTCAACCAAATCGTGATCAATAGTAGTAGCAAAAACATATTTCGAAGTAGATTTACTAAGTGCAGCCTTTGATCGAGTAACCATGGGATGAGTTGAAGTACTTACCTCTAGAGTAGATGAAATCGGTGCCGAGGAGGGAGGGCTGAGGGAAGGACATGATTAGGTGGTGGCTAGACAGTAAAGACATGAGACATAGGCTTAGGTCTACGGGTATAGACTCGCAGTGGGCGCTGCTGCTGGGTGGCAGGGGAAGTAGTAGATATTGAAGAAATATCTTTTCATTGATAACAAATAATAAGCTTACACTTGGTATTTATACAATGGCATAGCGCACATACTTGCGCCGCCAACTCATCCTAACTACCATAACAAACTTAGCCTAACTAATCACACCACTATCAACAGATTACAAAAAAATTAGTCAAGACTAAGTTTTATCTTTTACAAAAGAATTGTCCTTAATATTCCCCCTCAAATTAAACTGAGGAACTCGAAGTGTAAGTTTGTCTCGAAGTTGCAAGAATCTGAGCTTGGACAAGGACTTAGTACAAATGTCTGCAATTTGATCATGTGAACAAACAAATAGAACAGAAACAGCTTTGGACAAAACCTTTTCTCTTATGTAATGGTAGTCTATCTTAACATGCTTGGTTTTGGCATGAAAGATAGGATTTTTGGCCAAGGATGTTGCTGAAATATTTTCACACCAGAGCTTGGGAGGACAGTAAAGAGTTAAACCAATATCAACTAAGAGTTTGCAAATCCATGTAAGTTCTGCAACAGTGTTAGCTAGGGATTTGTACTCTGCTTCAGTAGATGATCTAGCCATTGTAGGTTGCTTTTTGGCATTGCAACTGATGAGAGAATTACCCAAGAACAAACATAAACCTCTTGTTGATTTTCTATCAAGTGAACATCCGGCCCAATCTGCATCTGAGAAAGCATTAATACTTAGTGGAGTTGAACACTTTGAAAACCAAAGTCCAAGATCCAAAGACCCCTTGAGATATCACAGAATCTGTTTAACTACTTGAAAGTGGGATTCCCTTGGATTATGCATGAATTGACATACAAGATTAATTGCAAAAGACAAGTCAGGTTTAGTCCATGTGAGATATTGCAGCCCACCAACAAGAGACCTATATTTAGCAGGATGGGAAAGTAGAGGACTTGAGTGATCCAGTTTGGAAGTACTAAGTGAAGTTAAACAAGGCTTTGCACAATCCATTTTTGCTCTTTTGAGAAGATCCAGAATATACTTAGTCTGAGAGATGAACACTCATTTGGAAGATCTCTTGACTTCAAGACCAAGAAAATAAAGAAGTGGCCCAAGGTCTTTGATAGGAAACAAAGTACTGAGCTGAGAGATAATAGTTTGACAAGATTGGGAAGAAGGACCAGTCACAACAATGTCATCCACATAGACTAAAACAAAGACCAGTGATGGATCTTTTTTGACAAACAAAGAGTGATCATTCTAAGAGCCTTTGAATCCAAGAAAGCGTAGGGCAGTATATAATTTTTCATACCAAGCTCTGGGAGCTTGTTTTATACCATAGAGTGATTTATGCAATTGGCAGACATGGTGAGGCCTTGTGATATCTTCAAAACCAGATGGTTGTTTCATAAAGACATTTTCTGAGAGATTGCCATGTAGAAAGACATTGCTAACATTCAATTGGTTTAAAAACTAATCATGTTGAACTGCCAATGCGAGTAGAAGTCTGATAATAACTGGTTTGGCAATATGGTTGAATGTCTCTGTATAGTCTAACCCTTCTTGTTGATGAAAACCCTTTGCAACTAAACGCGTTTTGTACCTATCAATAGTCCCATCAAGTTGTCTCTTAATTCAAAACATCCATTTGCAGCCTACAAGATTCTGAGAGGGTGAAAAAGGCACATGAGACCATGTACCAGTGTTGAGAAGAGCATTATACTTTTATTGCATTGTCTGTCTCCACTGAGCATGCTTAGATGCTTGGAGATAAGTAGTTGGGACATAATCTTCAATGAGATGTTGTGGAATAGGATGCTTGGTGGCTGTGAAAGCTTTGGATTTAGAAATACCAGATTTTGATCTTGTTTGCATGGGATGAGTGTTAGATGATTGAATTGGAGTTGGTAAAGATGATGGAGGATTAACATGTAAGTCTGAAGATTGATTGGAAGACACAGAGGCTAACACGAATGCTTGTTGTGGATTAGAATGTGTGATAGGTAATGAATTTGAAGATAGGGATGAAGTTGGTGAATGACTCTAGGAAAAGGTTAGTGTAGTGGGAATGGAGATGGGAACATAGGTAGGGAGTTGGATTGGGACAGAGATTGAGGAACCAAATTGTTTAAATGGGAAGGTTTTTCTTCAAAGATAACATGCCTACATGTGTAAACTCTGTTGGTTTGGGATCAAGACACCTATAACCCTTGTGGATTAAGCTGTAACCAACAAAGACACAAGGCTTGCTTTTTGATTCAAGCTTTGATGTGGTATAGGGTTTTAGCCAAGGAAAACAACTACATCCAAAAATCCTAAGAGGTAAGTAATCTAGTGATTTCTTGAAGAGAAGTTCCCAAGGAGAAGGTTTTGACATTGTAGGCATCCTGGTGATCAAATATATAGTAGTAGAGAACACTTCTACCCAGTACACATGAGGAACCCCAAAAGCTGCTAAAAGTGTCCTAGAAGTCTCTACCAAATGTCTATGCTTGCACTCAGCACACCCAATTTGTTCAGATGTGTGAGGGCAGCTCAGTTAGTGTTGAATACCATGGTCTTTTAAGAATTCATACATTGTATGATTGACAAACTTACCACCAGAATCAGAACGGATAATAACTATCTAAGTACTCAGCATATTTTCAACAATGGATTTGAAATGAACAAAGGTTTTGAACACCTATGATTTACACTTTAGAGGGAAGAACCAACAATACTTGGTGTAATCATCGACAAAGATTATGTAGTATCTATGACCAGTGAGAGATGAGATAGGTGAAGGTCCACATACATCTGTATGTGATAGCTCTAAAGGTTTACAAGTTGTACTGAAAACAGAT